CTGCTGAACTGCAACCACAAACCTATATTTGATGTTGCAGTCCGAGCATCTTCATGCAGCCACTGCCTCTGCCTGCCCTGATATCATGCTCAGCACCCAACTGCCCTTCACTTGCAGAGCAGAGCCTTGCTCCTCCCTAATCACTGCTCTCAGGATTGCACACAGCTCTAATCTGTGCCTGCCTTTCACTCCATCAAGAAGGAGGGGAAAAGCAAGCGTGATTCCTGAGAACAGAAATTATTTCCAGGACACTCCCAGAATGCTACAAATCCTTCAGCCAATCAGGGAACAGTGGTGTGCTAAAGGCTCAGCCCCATTTTTCATGAGCAGCACTGTTTCCTGGAACTGAGTAAAGTCCAACGACCCTGAACACTGCCTGCCCATAACTCTGTGCTGTGAGTGAAACGCAGCTCCGCTCTGGACAGACAGGATGGCAAGTGTCTTCTCCTGAGGTATGTATTTGCATTTCTTTCTGTCTATTGCCTTAGATTCTTTGGGATTTCATAGCTCCATCTTATTTTGCTGCAAGGGGAAATCATCCTGGAGATGTGTAGTTACTTTGCTTTCACCTGCTCTCACTTCACAAGATCAGTTTGTTAGGAGACACGTCATGGACAAAAGAAATACAGTCATAGTGGAGAGTCACACATCACATGCCAGCACATGCTTCTCTTCACTCTGGGGTAGAGGTTCTAGTGGGAATTCAATCCCAAAACTCAAGGAGCGGCACTACCGTCATCCTTGCACACCGTTGGCAGATCAGCGTCCTAGGTAGGGGTGATCTACACATGTCTAGCTTCACCTTCTTGTTTGCATGAAGCCAGCAAAGATGTGCAGTGAGGGGCTTAGACCACCTTGAGTCAGATACAGGTTTTTGGAGGCTTCTCTTCATTCTTTCTCTTTTTCCCTGTGGTTAATGTGACTTCCTTGACTGCTCCTTTCTGCTCAGCCCTCACCACTCTTCCCAGAGTTGTTCTTCAGCACACTTGAAGCACTTTTAGAGCTGCCTTTTCATTAATATGCCCTGAAGCGTTTGCTTGCATGCACACATGGCACATTCACATTGTGCCATCCTGTGAAGTTTCTTAAGCATCTACTCTGGGATTGGATTGTCTTCTGGGACTAGATTTCTTTCCAAAGCTCAGGCATTGGGAACATTCTTTTGAAATGCCTCCCCACATTAACAGAGATGCATGCACACAGAGGCATAAACACGCTTTTTATGACAGGGAGTTAACTACACTGGAGTCAAGGTGTCGCTCATGATAGGAGAGTGGCCAACCTAAATCCATTGGATCGCACTGTACTCATTGTCTTCCATTCCTCACTTGGGTATACACAAGACAACTCCTATTGGGAGAAGTGGGCCTGGTTTGTACTCTGTGTTGCGAGCCAGTGAGCCAGAAGGAAACATCACTCCTACGACAGTGCTAACATTTCGCCTTGCATTGCAGACCGAGCTCGGAGAGAAAAGCCAAGGAAAGCAGAACACCTGAGGACATGTCTCAGCAACGTGGTAAGAGTGGAGTGTCTGCCTTTGTTGGCCTTAGAATGAGAGTAGATATTCTATAATGACTGAATCCTTGGAGGGACCCAGGAGGATATGGAAGGCAACTAGTCCATGAATTGAGCGTCAGAAATGAGTCCTCCTTCTCTTATGTGTTGTCCCTTTTTAGTCTACAAAAACCTCCTTCCCTCTACTCTCCACAACATAGCCTTCAGAATGAATGCT